AAATAATTATCTAATAATAAAATATATTAACATGGAAAGTAACTGATATATTATTGAAGGTGCCAGTTCAAAGTGAACATTCATAAAATGTATATCCTTTTGTTGCATATATACGTAATAATGATTTAACAACACATGTACACTAGTTGTTTATAATAGTAAGTCTTAAATAATATAAATATTCACTATCATGGCTCTTTTTTTCAATTTTTTAAATTTTACTGTATGTCTTATTTTTGATTATTCTCATTATACACTGTTAACTGACGAATCGATTTTGTGTAAATAATTTTTTGTTTGATACATTGTTCTAATATAAGATCTTTCCATCTTTTATTATCAATGTTATTCAATAATAAAGAAAATCAAGGAGTTGGTGATTTTATGATTTGACTGTATGTATGGAAGGAGAGAATAATTTTTTTTGGACATCCGAAGATGATTCAATCCTTGGAGTCGAAACTAGTTGCGTTTTTCACAAATTTGCGTTTTTATCATTTTTATAACATCATAAGCGGCTAAGTACTTCTAATTTATTTATTGTTTTTCAATTATTTCTATGTATATACACAGTTAATGTTATTTAAATGTTTTAACCGCTTTATTTTATTTTATTTACTACTTGACTCTTATTGTCCTTTCTTTGTTAGATTATTATATAATAGTAAGTTTATAAAGAATTTATTGGCTCGTAACCCTGTTTCTCTCCATTAGTTTTAAATTTATTGAGCCTTATTACAATCTACATTATAATAGCAATGTTAAATCATTATTAGGTATATATGCAACAAAAGAATATATACTTTATGTATGTTTACTTTGAATTGGAACCTTCGATAATTATGAGTCATTTTTCATGGTAATATGTACCATTTCATTATCTTTCATTAATAAAATGCATTACGTTAAAATAGACAATTTGGTATAAGAATTCTTTTAAAATTAATATTGATCTTTTGTGATTTATTCTTAAGAAACTGTTATATATATATATATATATACATATATATACTGTTTAATCTCTCACCTAGAACACTATATTTTATTCAAGATTTTGGAGTGTAAGTTATAAGTAGTTTTCAATCATGTATATCTTCATAAGTATATGTTTACAAATTATTATTCTAATTAATAATTAATATCGTGAAGGATTGTTCTGATAATCAATTTCGTAATAACATTATACCAATAAAATCTATTACATATAATCAATAATCAAATACGCTAATAAACGTAATTTCTGAAAAAAATGATTGAAATTATTTATATATTTTGCAGGTACACAATTTGGAAGTAATTGATCAAAATGGTGTTCAATTTGAAGGACGAAATACTATAAAACGATAATAATATAAAGACATTAGATCCGAGTACATTGAAAGTTCTTGCCAGTGCTATAATCTTGGATGTGACTAATGCAAAGCTTGTTGACAATAATGTTGCCCTAAATAAGAGTGGTATCAAAATAGTTGACAAGCGCAGTTATACATTACAATAATAAAAGTACATTAAATTCTGAAGGTAATGCAATGCAATCGACACTTTCGACGTTAGAAGACAAACTGATATATCATTGAAGGTACTAGTTCAAAATAAACATTCATAAAATGTATATCCTTTTGTTGCATATATACGTAATAATGATTTAACAACACATGCACACTAGATGTTTATAATAATAATGTTAAATCATTATTATTTCATATATATGCAACAAAAGAATATATACTTTATGTATGTTTACTTGGAACCTGGCACCTTCAATAGTATTTGAGTCATTTTTCATGGTAATAATGTATAATCCTCACAATATTAGTTACTAATTATAATAATAATTTGTAAATGTGTGCTTATGAAGATAAACGTGATTGAAAACTGGTTAACTCACACACATGTGCTCCAAACTCTTGAATCAAATATAGTGTTCTAGGTGAGAGATAGAAATAACAGTTTTTTAGATTTCAAAAATGAATCACATAAGATCAATATTAATTCAAAAGAATTCTTATGTACTCCAAAATCTTGAATCAAATATAGTGTTCTATATGATCAAAATAAGTTTTTTATATTTTAAAAATGAATCACAAAAGATCAATATTAATTTCGAAAGAATTCTTATTAAATTGTTTTACCATGTATTAAATACATCTTTATTATTGGAAGATATATAATGAAATGGTAAAAAACCTTCATACATAATGAGATATTCAAGTCATACGTAAAGATGGCAACTGTTGGTGTATGTTTACTTTGATGAACCTGGCACCTTCAATAATATATGAGTCATTTTTCATGGTATTTTATTATCTTTCAATAATAAAATGTATTACTTTAAAATAGACAATTTGGCATAAGAATTCTTTTAAAATTAATACTGATCTTTTGTGATTTATTTTTTAAATATGAAAAACTGTTATAGTTTGATCTCTCACCTAGTTCAAGATTTTAGAGTGTAAATTAACCAGTTTTCAATCACGTATATCTTTATAAGTATACGTTTACAAATTTGTAACGACCTAACTTTCGTATGTGCGGATATAGCTCGTCGGTTAATTCGTATTCCAGGATACGAAAGAGGTTCGAACGGAGGAGAATGCAGGTTGAGCAATAATCTCAGACAAGATCTTATACAATAAATCCGCTTTTATTTGCTTTGTCGCAATTACTCTATATATTTACAGTGAACAAAAGAAAGCATAAAAGAAATACAGAAAGAAAGAAAGAAAAAAGAAAGGAAGAAAGAAAGCCGTATAAGCGGCTGGCGCAAACGAGCCATGCGTTGCGAAGCACGTCTTTCGGCGTGTGTGTGTGCGTGTGTGCGTGCGTATGTGTGTCGTGTGCGTGTGCGTTGATACTGGGCCCGGCGTGTGGAATCCGATGCGTCGCCTATGATCTCGCATACAGAGGTGTGTGTGCGTGCGTGCGTGCGTGCGTGCGTGCGTGTGCGCGCTTATGTGTTGAGCCGTTTAAAGCCCTTGTGCCGCTTTTTCTACGCGAATAACGCTTATCGCGGCCGATCAGCTGTGTCGCTATTTATAGCCGGACTAGTACGGCAGACTGTCAGCGGTATTTACGCGGTGTTTCGGCGTGAGTTAACGACGACCAGCGGCCGGGAACTCCCGGCGGAGGTGAAGAACTCTTCACCCCCGGTCGAATGCTGGTCAGTCGTGATGCAGTGAGATGCAGTGTTCGACGTTTACGACTGTCGAGAATTCTCGACAGAGGCAGAGTACTCTCTGCCCCTTTTTCTCGTCGTTCGGTGCCTTGTGGCTCTTGCTCACCAGCTGAGAACTCTCAGCGGAGTCGGAGAACTCTCCAACCCGGTTACTATGGGCTCGCAAGGCTTTCGAGGATTTCGGTGTTGCGGACGGATTCGTGTCAGGAACAGGAATGCTCGCTTTTCGCTCTTTTGCCGAGTTTTAACGCTCGTCAAAATGCCTCGTTCGCGAGGCTTCGCGTTTTCTCGGTCTTTCCCGCCGCTGGGTACTTGCGGTGTGCGCGATTCCGGGCGGTGGGAGTTCGCGAGAGCCGATCCATTTTCGGCGGTGCTCGGCGCGGCGCGGCCGTTACTGCCACCGTGTACCTGTGAATTATGTTTTCGAATTTATTGGGCGCTTATGCGCCTTCATCGCTGCATCGCGTTGGCGGTGCAGCGGTGTCCGGCCGGATGTTCTGGCTAGGACGATGGGTGCATCGTTACAAATTATTATTTTAATTAGTAATTAATATCGTGAGAAAGGATTGTTCTGAATACACCAAAAGAATTTATTACGTTTATTAGCATAATTGATTATACGTATGTAATATTTTGACATTGGAATAAATACATATTCACTTTCATTGCTTTATTTTTCAATAATGAAATGTATTACGTTAAAATATTTTAGAGAACATCAATGTAAACATACTGGAAAAATACCGTTCGGATACCATTACTAAGAAAGAGAAATTATAATAATTTCTTAATACTAAACATTAGAAAGAAGCATAAATGATGTAAAAGAAGAATATCTGTACATTTTTATGTACGTTTATTATAAAGTTAATTATACGTAGTGTGTTATACCTGTGATATGACTTCAAGTTCGTTATTGTATGTTTCTTTCTAATGTTCAGAATTAAGAACTTTATTATGATTTCTCTTTCTTGGTGATAGTATCCGAACGGTGCTTTTCCAGTATGTCTACATTGACGTTCTCTAAAATATTTTAACATAATACATTCTGTTATTGAAAGATAATGCAATGGAAGTTAATATGTATTAATTCCAATGTCAAAATCTTTTACATATACATAATCAAATACACTAATAAACGTAATAAGTGTTTTGGTATAATGTTATTACGAAATTGATTAACAGAACAATCGTTCCTCACAATTTTAATTATGAATTAGAATAATATTTTGAAAATGTATACTTTATGAAGATACACGTGATTGAAAACTGTAACTCACACACATGTGCTTCAAAATCTTGAATCAAATATAGTGTTCTAGGTGAGAGATCGAAATAACAGTTTTTATATTTCAAAAATGAATTACAAATGATGAGTATTGTGGCGGCCCCTCCGCCACAATACCGGCAGGCGAGACGCGAGCGCGCCGCCCCTGAGGCGCGAGCGCCGGCGCTAGCCGAGCGCCTGGCGCCTATACCGCCCGGCGGGAGTTACGACCGCCGCCGCGTGAGGGCCACGCGGTCGAGCGTTCGCCCGTGTGCAAGAGTATTCCGCACGGGGATATATACGAAGCAACGAGACCACCCAGCAGATCTTCCTACGCAGTGAAGAGGAGCTCTCGGAGCCTCTAACTAGTGTGGAGTTGATCCAACGTAACCTCCAGAGTGTGCCTGTGGTAAACACAAGGCCTCTGACGCTCAGAGTGCGCCTTCTTACAGGCCTCTAGGGCGAGCCCATTTTTTAGGTCTCAGTCTTTCAGTGCGAGCCTCTGCACTACGAGGGTAAGCTCCCTCGGGAGCCCTCCATCGCCTTCACCAACCGCAGGGACATAGTAGCCGCCAGACTGCCGCGACGACGGAAACGGACCCTCCAGGTCCTCCGGGCATCCCGACCACGAGGAAGGTTGTCGCATACCAGCCGCAGCGACGACAACCAGCACCGCCGACAGACCTCCCAGTTACGGAGAAACCACTGGACGCAGGGATCACCTTTCTCCCTTGGCAGCTGACGCTGCTGGAGGGCAGCCCGGAGAAAGCTCCCAGTGATCCTCGGAGGCGACGAGTGTCCACCAGGTCTACTGCCACGCAGACCGACGAGCAACCTCTGCCGCAGCCAGTGACAACCGCATCGGTGGCAAGCCAGGCCGGCCGGCCATTGAGATCTCCGCCGCGGCCATCTCCGCCGCCTGAGCCGATCAGCCCTCTGCCCAGGACGCCGAGGAAGCGCCCCCGAACACCGGGGCGCCTGCGCAAGGCCAGCAAGGCCAAGCGCCTACAACTGAGGGAACTCTTTGGGTCCGACTCATCTGAAGAGTAACTCCCTCCTGCGGGTGCCGAAAGGCACCCCACAAAAATCCTCCATAAACGGGCGCCGGAAGGCACCCTGAAGTCTTTGCACGGACACTAAAGTGAATCTAGCGCATCACGCCCAAATATTACTATCTTATGTAAGAGCTGAATAAAGAGCCCAGTAAGCAAGGAACATTACATTAACATTTTGAAACATTGATTTTATATGAATTTTATCAACGTTATTACGTAATGTGATAAATTACCACAAGTATTAATTTAAAAAGAATTCTTATGTGCTCCATAATCTTGAATCAGTTATAATGTTCTAGGTGAGAGATCAAAATAATAATTTTTTATAATTCAAAATTAAATCCCAAAAGATCAGTATTAATTTTAATAGAATTCTTATACCAAATTGTCTATTTTAACGTAATACATTTTGTTATTGCAAGATAATGAAATGGAAATTAATATATATATAAAAAATCTTGGCATTCATAATGAGGTATTCAAGTACATGTTCCAGTTAGACTTAGTCAAATCAGAAAGTTCGGAACTGTTGGGTATTACTGAAGAAGAAGAGAAGGGAACTACTGTTTTTTTTTATCTTATTATTTTCTTAAATCTAATAACACGTATCATTTGTACACCAAGTTAAATTCTAACATTGCACATCCTCCCTTCTTTTATTTCACTATTATGTCATATAATATGGATTTTTCCCGTAAAATATATCGTTTAATTGACTAGTCTTTAAAAATTCTATCTCTAAAGATGTAAGAGGTACCATTCTTATACACTTATTTAATTCTAATGACATGTATCTTTTGTATGTATATATAAACTTACCTTTTTAAAAAAAAAGGTAGATAAAAGCGCTAAAAGTGGGTGCTGCTGGTCAAAAAACCATTTGGGCCAGTTTCACCAACGTCAATTACTTAATCGACTGTGAAACTGACCAATCACATTTGCTGTTTAGTAGAACCATCTTCAAAAACCTACGTGATATTATCCTTATTTACTTAATTCTAATGACATGTATCATTTGTATAAAAGATTTGATATCAATAGTCGGCGCCAAGTTAAATTTTAATCTTAAAAAACCTACGTAGTATTATCCTTATTATTTACTTAAATCAATGATATGTATTATTTGTATAAAGATTTGATATCAACAGTCGACGCCAAGTTAAATTCTACCAAATTAAAAAGTAAAACACAAGTGTACCTTTAATCTTTAAGAACCCATATAGTACTATTATTTAACAAGGCCAACGAAACACTTTGAAAGTGTTTACTTTTATCTTTTCTTAAATTACAGTACAAATGAAAAAAAAAAAACTTTAAAACAAAACTCACTTTACTTAAATCGAAGATTATTCCAAATACTACTTTACAATGGAGTATCTAACTGTACGAGAAAAAATTGGAATGGTTCTGGTGTATGGAGAAGCTGGAAGAAATTTTGATAATGCTGTCAATTTCTACGCTAAAAGTAAGTTTTTTGAGAAGTAATTAATGAGTAATAAAAAATAATGAGAAATTTGTTTTAAGACTAATTTCGAGTATTAACAATGAAAACGTGGTATTTTTATTGTTAATGTATTGCAAAATCGTAAGCATGGGTTCTCAATAAGATTACAGCGCCATCTATCATGAAACGAGAAAAATGTTTCAGACAAATTGTATGTGTTTTTAGCCAAAGATTCCGAATATGCAATAAAAAAAATAGGGGTTCCCATTTAAGATTTAAAACTTGCCCCCCCTCACCGCCCAGGGGACGGGGTGGGGGATCTGATTTTAACGTCATTGTATGTCCCCCTCGAAATGATGAAATTTTGATTCTTAACATTTTTTTTGTAGTGTGCTTACTTTTTTTAGATATTTGAATGTCTCAAGTTAAAAGCATCACCCTGTATATAGGGTGACCCATTTTAACTTCCCCGCCGGATTATCTTGAAAGGAATGCATTTTCTGAAAAAAAGTTTCAGATATAAACAACAAACGAAATGAGCAAAGGACGTCGTAAGAGTCATACAAAATAAAATTTTTAAAACGATAGATAAAACATAACTGTCATATATAATAAAATATCATCTTACATAATTCTGAATTATACATTAATAAAACAAAAACATAAATGATTACAAAATTACAATACTACTTAACGTTTCGGCTCTCGGATTGAGCCATCCTCAGAAGTAACATCATGATAATTGAAAGTTATTCGTTAATTGGAAAAATCTAATGTGAACATCTCCATGTCTTATTGTTGACCAAGCGATTGAAAGATCGAATCAAAAAACAAGCTAATAAGTAAAATAAATTAACAAACGATTAATAAATCTCATACTACGTATAAATTGTGTTAAAAAATTATAAAACTGTCTAACCTTTAGAGATGGACATCATTATTTTATCCCCACAAAAACTTAAAAAATGTATATCAATAAAAATCAGATCGTCAATATATAAAAATTATAAAAACTGATTATACTATTGTTACAGATTACACAGAAAATTCATCATC